CCACTGGCATCTCCTGCATAATTGAGCAAAGATTCATCCATTAGATTGCTTGGCTACAGCTACAACTCTGTTTACTCAAACTGCTTCATCAGAAATGGAGAGAATGGCTACATGTGGATGTTTGTCAGTGCTCATATAAAAGTTATTCCTTATCCAAATCCAGACACAGAGGCCATCTTAGTGGCATATTGTTGGGAAATATGTGTCCATAAAGCCAACAGGATGGCAAAACTCCTTTCACAATCAGTTCTTAAGCTTTGTTCAAGGAAAGCATGTACTAGTTGGTGTCAGTGCTAAAATCTAATATGTTTTAGTATTTTCAACACTGGGAGAGAGCACTACAAAAACAAGATCAAGAAGAGAAAAATTGATACTAAATTTATCACATGGTGTCCTGAAATCCATTGCTCGGGAAGTAGCCATAGCTTCTCTTTAGCGTACAGGCCTGTTTTTCCTAGGTGAAGCCTCTCCACACAAGGATTTTAATAACAGTAGTACTAATCAAAGCAGGTTGGTTTCACTTGCAGGTTAGGACTGTTGTGTAATTCTCAATACCACCAACACATCAGTTCTACAAATGGCGTTGTGCATTTTTGTTCTTTCTATTCGAGTGGTTCATCTGTGTGAGTGGCTGTTATCTCCTTAGAAACACTGAAGTAGCTGGTATCTGTACTGAAAAATTTCACAATATTTGCTGCTGTCTGGATGTATGAAACTCAACTCTGCTGCTTTCATTTCAGGGAGTAATTTCAGTTCTTTTCCTTGCTTTCAACTTATACAATTACACTCCAGTCTTGGGCCAGTGTCAGCTGGTATGTGTGAAGAAACCAGCAAGGTTCAAAAGCAATAAATATGTAGGTTGTTGGAATTTCTTTTGCACCTCAAGGAAACTCATTCAGAAATCACCTAGTGGCAGAAAGGCATGAGATGGCCTTGACCTGCCTTAGACCCTGGTTTTAGTACACAGGTGGAAAGTGCAGGATGAAAGGGAACTTTTAAAGTCACCTGAACTTGCGTTTGAATGAGCTTCGGGATCCATTTCAAGAGTGAGGGAAATACTAAAATAATAGTAATAATAATAAAAAAGGACTGCTATATTTCAACAAAAAATGTATGAAGCTTGAGCATCTCTTTAGATATTTCACTTTTCTGTAACGTAACTGTAACTGGTAAGTCTATTTAAACCTGTTTAGGTAAACAATTTTTTTCCCATACAGAAAAAGCAAAATAGTTTTCAATCCATGTTTATCATAGAAGACAGAAGCAGTGTTTCTCTAACATTTAATCAGCATGTGATGGCAAGTAATTTGTCTTTTGAGCCTATGGCTGTTTGCTTACAGTGGTAAGTGATGAAACTCATACCAGAACTGTAATCCTATTTCTCTCTGTTAGGATAACTTATTGGGTGTGTGTATTTTTTATAATTACAAATATTCATAACTGAAAGTAACTATATAAACATATGTTACCATCTCTTAAATTGCAAGAGATTTTAAAAGTAAATACGTTTTCTATCGTTTTCTTTTTTTCTACCTAGCATTTGGTATCTTGGAAGTTAAAAAAAAAAAAAAAAAAAGAAAAGATGGGATCACCAGCTTCTTGGAGTAACATTAATTGTTTTCTTTTGGCTATAAATCTGAGAACAAAACGATTAAATAGACTGAAGAAGAGGGGGAAACCTCAAATAAAAAGGCACTTACATTTATTGTGTTTTGCAGGGTTCCTTTTGGGAACAACGAATGTCTCTTGAGACTTTGTTTCTTATCCATTTTATAGAGCTCTGGCCTCTTAACAGCACTGCTTTAATGACTTGTTCTTGGGGTTCTGAGTTGGTATCAGCACTCGCCATGAAAACAAGCCTGTTACAAAGAGGTCAGGTTTCACGAGACAGCAATAGACTTGTAAAAACAGATTTTACTGGCACAAATAAAGTCAGAATTACGAAGAAACCAGAGATTTGCATAAGGAATCAAGATGCAGAATGAAAAAGTATTGAGCTAGACTGACAAACAGCGTATAAGTTGAAATTGATCAGGAGAAGCAAATGGGGATTTTTTTTGTTTGTTTCTACAATCATTTTTAGTGACATTAATTACTTTATTTTTCTGAAGATTTTGAGCAGTTCTCTGAAATTCTGACTTTACTATCTGACTTTATTTCTGAGGAAATACCTTTCTTTTGCTCAGGTAGAAAAATATTATTTAAATATCAGCCTCAATTAATGTTAGATTTTCTAAATAGTATAGCTGAATCTTTTCTTACTTGCGATTGTGATGTATTTTTATTCTATGAATTACTAATTTTCCACTGTTTCTTGGAATTCCTGAGAAGATCACTTAAATCTTCAACTGTTATTTACAGGATGCATTGGAATAAATCATTGAAAAATATATGTTTGTTTGTAGATATGTATAAATATGTGTATACTCTGTGTAACATGCATAGTCTATAACATATAGTATGTCATGTACTGTATGTATACTACGTAGTACATGTCATACTATGTATTGTACACATATAGCATATAGTATATACCTATATATGAGGGTATATCAGTGATTCCGAGGCTTGCGTTATGTTGATCTGTTTGGTTCTTATGATCATTTATACTTTTTTATATTCCACAAGATTTTATTTTCAAAGTTAAGCAGGCTTGCCTGGCTGACTACATCATGCTTTCAATAAGTAGGTGATGAATGCAAACCACTATGCTTTCTCTTAGAAAATCTGTTGAGAACAGCACTGAGGGAATACTCTGCTGCCTGTTCGGATGGACACACGCTGTCTGTGTAGGCAGGGATGGGAACAGATGAGAAGGAAAGGAAGTAAGACAAGTCTGGATGCTTTTATTTTGCTCTTCTGTAGTGGAAAATGGCAGGAGATTGGGCATCATTAAATTCAGCAGAAAGCAAAGCTGGCAAGTTCAGAGTTATGGGAACAATCTGATACGTGGACAGTTTGTTTGAGTTGCACTGAATCACAGAGAACTATGATGCTTTCTTATGATGTTTTCTTCGCAATTGATAGAAAATACATGGTTAGGAAGAGAACTGTTCTGTTTCCTCTCCTCATCCTATCTCCACCCCATCTCCTAGCAGGCTTTAAATGTATGACTTCTGTTGTGACAGCTTTATGCAGACTGTGGGGTTTCTGTTTGCTTTAAACTAAGTGGTTAATTTGGACTTAACTATGAGATTTATGAATCTGGTACTGTTCAAAATTGAGAGAACTAACTGAAACTGAAACATAGGGAACTGTGTTAAATTCTGCAGGTGAGTCCAGTTCTCTCTGCAGTGAGGCAGAGTATGCTGAGGCTGTGGAGACCTGTTCCTAAAAGCCACAGCCAAGCACGGGGCTGATTGTGGATACCAGAGCATTTCTGCACTCAGTCTGTAGCAGTCTGTGTCACATCTGGGGTGCCAGACCTTGTTTCCAATGGCCATAGTGTTTGCTCCATGTGGTGGCAGCTGCTTTCAGATGGTTTTGCTACACAGGGCGGTTTGGTTGACTTGTTAGTCAGTCTTTGGGAGGTCTGTTTGCAGTACTGCTACACTTGGGCTCTGGCAGTGTGATTAGGAATGTTCATTCTTGTAGTAGTGCTTGTGCAACTTCTGGAATGCAGTGCGAGAAGAAGGATTTACTCTGACCTGAGGTATTAAATAACACTACTCATAGCATAGTTAGGCCTATGTTAGGAGTTAGTTTGTGCATGGAGAGTAAAGCAATCAGGTGATGTCATGTTTCCTCCACACTCCAAAATTCAATTTTTTGATGCTATGGAAGAGTATCAGATTGTGGGGGTAGTAGTGGTGGGAGGGAGCATTCATTAGAATGCTTGGCGTGCATCAGTGCTGCATGTGTACCCTGTGCAGAAGAGCATCATTGAGAATGCATTACAATAAATAGGAGGTAAAACAGTTGAAAGAAAGCTAAGTGAGTAGAGGAATTATTTCAACACAAAGCTTAAATATTAAGAGATGGTTAACTTACTAATATTGATCTGCTACATAATGTTTTTTGTAATTTATACAACAGTAGAAATTTACTTGAAATCCTATATTAAACACATCAGTACCATTGAGGTTATGCAGGGATTGTTCCCTGTGCAGTTGCTTGGAGTGGGGATGTGTGCAGAATTACTCACGTTGTGAGATATCCAAAATGAATTGCCTCTGAAGAGCTGCTCTTTGTGTTAATTATGTAGTGAGTAGCAGTAAATTGAGCAATTAATTAGAAGCTTTTGTATTCCTTTCCCTTTAGCTTTTTTTTTCCTGAGCGTAGAAGTCCAACTACTGATTAGTTTCTTAGGTTTCTGCTAGCTAGAAGGTATTTATTGATCTGCCAATTCAGTTGGCTCAGTTTTGTGAACTCCTGAAGTTCTAACTGCTTGAAATTATATTGGAAAGCACTTGGACTTTTGGTATGAAAGTGTTAATACCTGGTTACAATTATTTTGAATTTTTGCTTTCTTTTTCTATCAAACCAATTGTAAAATTCTCCAAATGCTCTTACTGAAGTGAATTTTTAAAGGACTAAAATATGGCTGTCAAGAACTGAATGTTCTGAGAATTTTCTTCTGCAGTTTTGTTTTTTTTTTTTGTTTTTTGTTTTTCTGTTTTAATGAAGGATAGTGGGGCTCGAACTACTTGTGTTGATGTGAACAGCCATAGTTTAATAATTAGTGTGCTTTCTAGCTACATGCCAGACAAATGTACACTTAATTCTATTAGAGACACATTTTATTTTCTGTTAAAACATTTTTATAATGAATTGACTTAAAATGAAATTATGCTACGTATACTTTCAACTAATGAAAGCATGATGTTGAACAAAGTTAATAAGGTAATTAGGTCAGTATTTCCTTACATGTAGGAAAGTTTGAAGTGTTTTAGGGTATTTCTTCAAGTTGATCTGTGATCTGGAGCTTGGTTTATCTAGGAATTTTTCCACACTTCAGTCCTTTAAGTTATATGTCCTTGTATTTTTTTTTTTTTTTTTAGCCATTTCTGCTTTTGAAGTTCAGCCACTTTCAACTGAGGTTCAGGAAGGTGGAGTAGCTCGATTTACCTGTAAAATAGCAGCAAACCCTCCTGCTGTTGTGACGTGGGAAGTGAATCGAACAACTTTGCCTTTATCTGTGGACAGGTACGTAGACTTACACATTTCAGGATGACATTCTCTGTGATAATTCTGAGCCAGATACAAAAATAATATCTGAATACTTGCAGTGCCAGTACATAAAAAAGGTTCTAAGTGTGTATTATGTCAACTGCTAATTAGTCTAATTACTAGCAATAGTTAATAGTTAATTTTGAATAGATGTTATGAGCATGGACCAGAATTATCTGCTATTGTAGATACAATAGAGTCACAGAATGAACGTTGGCCTATGAATTGTTAATGGCAAATTTTACATTCTCAGGGGTGGGGTGTAATGGGATGCAGAATAGGTGGGCTTTTGATGGGCAGATAGTTTAAACTAATGAGTTTGCTTTTGCAGATGCAATGTAGAAGAATTAATATTGAACCTGTTTTGTTTTGTTTTTGTTTTTAGAGGGCCTGTAAAGAATTATGTGCAAAAAAACTGAATTAAATCACTTCATGCTAGGTAAATTCTTCATAGGGTACTTCTCTCGTGAGTTGATTGACTTGAGGTGTACAGCCCATTTTTCTAGCTATTTTCCCTGCATTCATTGAACCTACTTCCATTCTTATTGGCACCTAACTTTTGTTGAATATGCAACTGGCATGCAAAAGAAGGTAAAAGAAGGTACAAAGAAAGACATGAAAATTATAAAAAGTATAGGTGGGTTTACTGAAAATTGCATACCCTGAAGTGCCACTGTAGCAGAAACTATTGTCAAGAAAACTGACCAACCCAGGTTACATGGATGTGGTATCTGCCTGAAGAAGACTGGGATATTTGCTTCTGAGAATTGAGAAAGGTCTGCTAGTTAAAAGTATACATATTCCTCTGCTTTTGTGGTGGCATTAGTGGGGGAATCTCACCTGTAGTTCAGAAGTGCAGGGAGGTGAGTCATGTATACAGGGTGTTTGTGAGTCTCCAGCCTGCTGTTCCCAAGTCAGTGTAGCAATGGCTGTTCATAAAGTCTTCCATTCCATGATGCTGTTCACTTGTGGAACATTTATCTACGTTTCTTTTTTGTTTATGTGACAGGATAACTGCTCTACCTACAGGAGTTCTTCAGATCTATGGTGTTGAACAGAGGGATGCAGGAAATTATCGATGTGTTGCCACAACAATAACCAGCAGACGTAAGAGCACTGAAGCAACACTGAATGTTATTCCAGGTACTCAGCATGTGAGATTTTTCCACAACATTACTGCCTTATTTATAACGTAGCAAAAACACTTAGATGCATTAAGGAGCTGTAATTACCTCTGAACCACTCACCAAAATAATAGTTTTACTTGCTCAGATCCTGTGGCTAAAATATTGTTCCGTGTACAATTACTGAAAAAAGGATTTAGTGTAAATTTAATTTTAGGCATCATTTTTTAACTTGTTGTATTTTTATTCATACATGATTTATGTTTTGTTTAATTGTGTTTACTTTCTTTGTTCTCTTTTTTTTTTTTAATTTTTATTTTTCTCCAAAGCTTCAGACTTAAAGCCTTTTCACAAACCAGCTATAATAGCTGGTCCTCAAAACGTTACAGCATCTCTTCATCAAACTGTTGTACTGGAGTGTGTAGCCACAGGGAATCCAAAGCCAATCATCTCATGGAGCCGGTTAGGTAGGTCTTAAAATTATAGAATACAATTTTGAGCTTGTGGAGAGGAAATGAAATTGGAAAGGGAGGATTTCAGCAGCTGGTTCCTGTTCTCAGGCATTGTATAGTAGGTAGGCAACCATTAGTAGGTTGGGGTAGGGTAAGTGAAACACTTTCACTCATGTACTTCCATACTGCTGGTGAGAACCCCTGAGGTTTTCCAAGGACTCAAATGCTTCTGTGTCAGTCCTGCACTGCCCGCAGAGCACAATGGACAAGGTGCCTGGTGGGGTGGTGACCTCCAGAGATCTGTCAATCAGAACAGAATGATGGTTGGTTTAGTGAAGATTGGAGTGGCTACATCCCACAGAATAATCCTGTAAGTGCTCCTCTAACTATTCTTAGAAGCAGTATGTGAGTGGGATTTAGGACTTGTATGAGTGGGCAGTTCAGACTCTGAATAGCCATAGTCAGATCCTGAATAACCTGACTAAAGGGGAAAAGAAGAGAGGGAGCACAATAATAAAATCAATAGCATTCATCACTGTGTCACATTTTCTGTGAAAATTGCCTCAGTTTCTCCTGACATGTACTTAAATGTGAAAGTCAGGACTATACCTGTAGAAGCAAATCATCAGATGATTTCCTGTATTTTATTTCTAGAAGTGGGAGAAATGGATTGATTCCGTAGCTCTTCTAGGCAAACAAATAAGAAAATAATTACATAACAGCCTAAGCGCTTTTTATAGAAGGAAAATAAAAGAAAACATATGGTAACCAAATATGTTCATTTTATTCCAAACACAATTTAGGAGATGGATGATCTGTGATTGTAAAGATAATGTGAACGTTGGTAGTAACAAACTGTATCTTTGTGCAAGCTGACTAGGGAGCTATCTGGAAAAATAACATTAGTTTTCAGCTGTGATGGGAAATATCAGTTAGAAATTACTTACTGAGTAGTGTAACCTAAACATCCGAATGGTCAGATACCTAGAGTTAAGAGCAAAGTAAATGCAAGATGGAAATCTCTGAAAACTCATTTGTGATTTCCCTTTGTGTTTTTTTGACCTTTAAACTCTTACCCATGCCTTGGCCATCTAGGCAACTTTCCTTAGATAGGTTATTTAAATACACTGGACAACCTAATAACCACACTTTCTCCCACTGTCTCAAATAGACCATAAGTCCATTGATGTCTTCAATACCCGTGTCCTTGGAAATGGGAACCTCATAATCTCTGATGTGAAGGTGCAGCATGCAGGCATATATGTCTGTCGAGCCACTATTCCAGGCACACGAAACTTCACAGTAGCAATGGCAACTCTCACTGTGCTGGGTGAGCCTGTTTTGACTTCTGCCATGTTTTAACATCTCGCTTTTGTCTTGAGCTGTGCTATATACTGGGTTGAATTTTTGTCTCAAGTAAAGTGCACCTAGGGTTATAGCAGCTTGCTAATGTGAGATAGAACTGTGGCAGCCTTCTTTTGTCAGAGAGATGAGAAATGTCAAATACTGAATGTCTGAGTTACAAACTAGCAGTTTATTTCCACTTAGAGACAGATGGTACATCTGGAAGACTGACTTTCAACACAGAATCCAGTGACAAAGTAAAAATATGTAATATACCCATGTGTGTCATTAACGATGTTTTGTAGGCTGGAGTTTAATTTGCTGTTTGCCTTCACAAATGCATAAACCAGAACGTGCATCAGTGTTGGTTTTTGTGCAGAAAGTATTCATTTTTGGACAAGTGTACTTTCTTTATATAAAATGTGCTTTCTGCATGGGTGTATGTGTGTTTAAGCAGCCTGAGGAAAGAGGCTTGTGTGTAGGGAAATTCTTTCTTAATTTGAGTGTCCTGACGTTTATGTAAGCTTGATTTTTTTCTTGTTACTTACCTGTAGCTCCTCCTTCATTTGTGGAATGGCCGGAGAGTTTAACAAGGCCTAGAGCTGGTACTGCTCGCTTTGCCTGTCAGGCAGAAGGAATTCCTGCCCCCAAAATTTCATGGCTGAAAAATGGAAGGAGAATACACTCCAATGGTAGAATTAAAATGTACAACAGGTAAGATTACATTTGCTGTATGAGAGCTTGTAAGGAACACACACCCTTACTGAAGGTTGAGATGTCAGTAACTAAATATAGCCAAACAAGGTATAATTAAATAAATATAAATTGGGCATTGAATGTAACATTATGGACATTTCCCAGGCAGAAGAAACACAGATGAGTAAGTACCCAGAATCATCACTGAAGATTTTATGATCTCTGCCTTACCTCAGTGAAAACTGAAGTGATTTTACTGGAGTTACTCTGGATCTACAGTACTGTAGTAGAGACCAGAATCTGTTTGAGGCCCTTTTCAGTCCTTCTGTGGAGTGAATAGCTCATATAAAAGTATGTTAAGAAATGACAATCTTAACGTTGTTCTTTTTTCAGGGAGGAATAGATCTATGTATTTGTTTTCACTGTGTTTGGTTTTGCAGCAATAAACATGAATATTGACATGGGAGATTTTGAGTTAGGCTTCAGGTTGTGAAATTTCACAACTACACATCCATTTCTAATTGAAAAGTTTGTAAAGTGTAAGTTATTTAAACTCATGAGGCAAATATAACTGATGTTGCATTATACAGAGCTAAGTTTTGGTGTTTTTTTTTTTCTTTTTTCCTTTTATGTTGTTTTTGGATTCAGTAAATTGGTGATTAACCAGATCATTCCTGAAGATGATGCCATTTATCAGTGCATGGCTGAGAACAGTCAGGGATCTGTACTCTCCAGGGCCAGGCTTACTGTAGTTATGTCGGAAGACAGACCCAGCGCACCTTACAACGTCCATGCTGAAACGATGTCAAGCTCAGCAATCCTGCTAGCATGGGAAAGGCCACTCTATAATTCAGACAAAGTGATTGCATATTCTGTGCATTACATGAAAGCAGAAGGTAAGCAGTTTGATTTAAAGTGTATCCATATACTACTTATAAATGGTAAGAGCTTGAATGTCCTTGCAAAGGTTGCCAAATTTGAACGGCTCATAACCAGGACTGCATCAGAGCATATTGGCGTAAAAATCATAATCAACTGACTTGCATGGGGGAAAAATGCTTTTTCCAAATCATCTCATTTGTGAGACTGAGTGTTCTTCCAACTCACCTTGTCTGATCACTCCAGTGAACAGATTTTGAAGTCAGGAATGGGCTTTAAAACCTGGAACCTACCTACTATTGTCTGTCTTTCCCTGTTTGTCCTCAAGGAGAAATTCTGCATGTGTGCTTGGAAGGGAAGGACAGTGTCCTGGGGGCTTGTAGTGAGCAACTTTTCCCTGGATTTGCCTGTTATGTCTGGATCACCAAAGTCTTGTGACTTTACGGACTTTTGTATGTTTTGGAATAAAATGATTGGTGCATTATTGGCTTTAGCTATTGTCTCTTAGAGTACTAACTTAACAAGAAGGTTTGTTTTCCTACAATGAGAAATATTTATTCTAAATTGTAAATTATATGGAAATAGCCACGAATGGTTTGCCACGATCTCTTAAATTTTATAGAAATAGGTATGTAAAAGGGAATGGGTAAATTAAAAGAAAATTGAGTAACTAGACATTTTTAATCACTTAGTGTGATGTAATTGCTTTAAGTTAAGGAAGTCTTTACAGCGATAGAAAACAGATACTTTTCATAAGCAAGGTATTTTTCATAAAACTGCCAAAGGACCTGAACATTTCTTTGGTGCGTAGCTTAAACTAATGTTTATGCTGTAACGGAGCTCTGTTTTCTTGGAAGACTAATTTCTTTTCCCATTTCTATTCAGTAACTCGTTTATTCAAGGACAAGACTGCAGATGCTCAGCTCTGTGTGGAATACCAGTCTGACATCTGCTAAGCAAGAGGACAGGAAGGACAGCTTAATTACTCTAATACTGATGCAGAAATAGCTGCCTTTGCTTTTGCAAGTGGGATTTTTCAGTACACAAGAGAATTTTGTCTGAAGGAAGGAAGGAAAGAGTTTTAAGAGATAATGAGGACAAGAGGTGCGGGAAATTACCCCCTACACTTTCAGTCACTGAGGTATTGTGCTCACAACCCCCACTCAAAGCTAATATGAATAAAGTCACACTAGATAAGCTATCTGGGTAATTGTATGTCCGGTGCCAGTGTAGAGAGCAGAGACTGGGTAACTTCAAAGAGAACTGGGAAATTGTCCTTAGGGAAGCCTGCATTTGTGCAGGAAGTACTCTTTCACTGTAGTGAAAATGAGGTATCTTCTGAAATTTGTTTTCTGCAAAATTCTTTTGCAGACTCTGCTTCATTTGCCTGCTTGGACAAAGACTGTTGTGTGTATGTATGTATGTTGTGAAATGAGACTGTAGTTTGGCTTAGTTTAAAAAAAAAAGCCAAAACGACACAAAACCAAACAAACAGAAAAATCCGAAAGCAAACCAACGCACACAAAAAAAACCCAACCACCCCAGTTATTTGAACTTTTTTTCTCTAGTACCTATTTTTTCATCTTTCAACACAATTTTGTGACATCAGGACATAAAAACTTTTTTTGTTTGTTTGTTTTTTAATTGTATTATAGGAAAATTGTTGGAGCTCAAAGGCTCATGAAACTGCACTCACCTGAAAATGGTGACACTCTAAGTGGCAGTCAGTAGATCTTTCAGAGGACATTGCCCATATCAGAGGCATTCTGTTCCTTCACTGTGAAACAGGTTCAGGTCCTCTTCCCTGTATGAATTAAAAGAAAAAAAAAAAAGTTTTATTGAAGTTAGTTGAAGAAACCAACAGGTGGTGTTTTTATTTTATTCTATGTTTTAATTTTTGTTCTTTTTTAAGCAGAATATTTTACATTCAAATTGGGGTCATAGTAGCAAGAAGAATAAGGGTCTGATGAGCGTGCATGTTGGAGTGTGTTAATTCCTTGTTAGTAATTCAGAAAAGGCACAAAGGGAACAGTGATTGTGGTGGAAGGCAAGCCTTGTTCTCTATTATGGCTGTTTCATTAGGGCCTCTGCATGAGGCCTAGCAATCCATTCAATAAGAGAACAAGTCCTTTTAATTTGAGCTCAAGGATCTTGTTTAGCAGGTCAGAAATCGTGCCTTGCAATTCCTAATTAACAAGCCATTAACTAGTCTGTTGTGAGATGCTTGTAATCTTGTCTAATTAAAATGCTATCAAGTTAATTCATAAATGTGGGAAAACTTAATGCTGGAATTTGCCTTTCGTTTTGTTTATAAATTCAGTTGTGAAGAGGAGGAGCTGGCTCTTACAGAGTTTTGATTAAGTTGACATGCATTTGGTGTGAATTGTTCCTTAACACAGCAGCTTTCACCACACTTATTCCACTTTATAGCCTTCCTCTATAGGAATAAAGCCCAACAAAGACAAGAACTGCTGCTTGCATTGCTATGCATATTTTAATGAGAATTGCTGAGAATTTTTTCTTTTTATTCCTGTCTCTTTTTCTCTCGCTTTTTTTTTTTTTTTTTTTATTAGCAACTCATTAAGGAGCAAAATACTTTTGAATCTCATTCTGGGCTGTTCCTATTGGCTTTTTTCCAAATTAAAGAAAAAAAGTGTCAATCAGATGTACTAGAATTTGCAGGGCTAAAATGAGATCCTTCTGTTGAATAATTTCTTTGTTTTGTGTTATTTGGGGGGTGGAGGGTTTTATGTTTGGGGTTTTTTTTTTGTTTTGTTTTGTTTTGATGGAGTAGAGCTTTTGCATTCCTCCCAGACTGCTATAGTAAGGCTCTGTAAATAGGTTTTGAAAAAGCCTTCTGACTCTAAACAAACAGATTTAGAAGTTTGCTCTGAATTATAAGGCTATTAGAGCTCGTCTGTTGTGCTACTGTATATTGGGCGCAGTTTGTTGTGACTAATTTTAAAAAGGGGTTTAGAGTTTCATTCAGTGTTCCTGATGCAGGAAAATCCTGCAACACCATTATCTACATCACAGTAAGACACAGTTACTCCTGTGCATAAATGAACTCAACTTAGGAGGCTGAAATAACAGAGGTGAGCTGGGTAAGAAAATGAAATAACTTTGTAAGATCTCACAGCCAGATACTGCGTTGTTTAGAGATGATCTGGAATTTTTGTTTGTTTAACCCTTGTTTTATGCCAGGTTTAAATAATGAAGAGTACCAAGTTGTCATTGGAAATGATACAACTCATTACATTATTGATGATTTGGAACCAGCCAGCAACTATACCTTCTATATTGTAGCTTACATGCCTCTTGGAGCCAGTCAGATGTCAGACCATGTTACTCAGCACACCCTTGAAGATGGTAAGACAGATAAATACCAGTGTTTTTAAGTGAGCATTTTTTTCACACTGAACAGAAATGTGCAGTCAAGTACTAATAGGTTTCAAGGATCCAGTGGCATCAGTGAGACTTCTAGATACCAACGATGTAAGACTGAGCCAACTAAAGAAAGCAATGGGAATAAAATAACATTCTGACAAAGCAGCACTGTATATTACATGACATCTTTTATTTACATTGAAAGATATTTCATTACATCAGGTAAGGCATCTTTTCGAATTTTGTTGGAAAGCTGCAATTTCATCTTTGTGACTTTGTCCTCCGGCATCTGAAACATGAATTGAGCTGCACACCCAGTGCAGCTTCTGTAAATTTTGAAGGAAGGTTTGGAATAACAATTTGACATACCAACTCCCCTCCACTTTTCTGTTGTTGCTGTTGTTTGTTATTTGCATTTTGTTTATTTGTTTTGGTCTGTGTTCCAGAAGGGCCATGAGTATGATCAAAGGGCTGGAACACTTCTCTTATGGATGGTTGAGGGAGCTGGACTTTTTACGGTCTGATAGTGGTAGTAAAAGAGGGAATGGCTTTAAACTAAAAGGGGAAACTTAGGTTAGATGTTTGGAAGTTCTTTATTCAGAGAGTGATCAGGCAGTGGCACAGACTGCCCAGAAAAGCTGGGGATGCCTCATCCCTTAAGATATTCAAAGCCAGGTTGGATGGGACACTGGGCAGCCTGATGTGGCTGGCAGCCAGCCCCCAGCAAGGCATTGGAATTGGATGGGCTTTAAGGTCCCTTCCAACCTAAGCCATTCTATGTTTTCATTAATTGAAATTTCATAAAAGACCGTACTGACTTATTTCTGTGCATTGAATTAACTATCCAGAACATCATTGGAATTGATGAACAAATTCTGATAGGATTAAGCTTTGTCAGCATGGAACACTTCCGATTGTCTGCATGTCTTGTGTCTCAGTTTCAACTGGGACGAAATTTTATTCTACAGAGTGTCTGGTATGATGCTATGTTTTGGTTCTAGGAGAAAAACAATGTTGATAACACACCAATGTTTATTGTTGCTGCTAAGCAGTGTTGTTCAGAGCCCCATCCCTGCAAGTGTTTAAGGCCAGGCTTGATGAGCTCCTGAGTAGTCTGATCCTAGTTGTTTTCAATCCTGCCTGCAGCAGAGGGTTGGAACTATAGATGGTCTTTGACGTCCCTTCCAACCCAAGCCATTCTATGAATCTGTGAAGGCCATTCTCAGTGAAAGGCCCAAGGAGCTGGGAGGGAACAGAATTAGAACAGCTAACTTAAACTGAACAAAGGGATAGTCCATGCCATATGTCATGTGGAAGAAATTTTGAAGGAGATTCATCTAGATCTGTTCTGCTGCCTAGGGTGCTAGCTAGGCAGGGGGTGGTGAACAATTGCTTGTGCATCACTAGTTATATACATTTATATATATAAATATAAAAATTTATATATGTGTGTGTGTGTATAAATGAAGTGTGTGTGTGTGTGTATTCATTTTTTTTCCTGATTCTCTTCCCCATCCCACTGGGAGGTAGGGGGGTGATGAGCAAGCTCTGTAGTGATTAGCTACCTGCTGGGTTAAAGCACAACATGTAGCCAGAAGTGACTACCCTCATAACATGGTGGAAGGAAGCACACACAGAGTTCTGAGCACTACTGGGTGTTGTTTAGACTCCTAGTTCCACCTGCTGCATGTAATGTTGACAGTCACTTTGACAGAACATAAGATGTTGACTGCCATCAATTCCTGCTGGCAGTAAGAGAAGAAAATGTTGAAGGCTTTACAGAAAGGAGCTTGCTAAGTTTATATTGTATGCAGAAGATTGAGAAGCATGAGCAGTGTCAAGCTGTTCTTAAAATAAAGAGGAATCTACAAAACTGCTTATTACAAGTACCTCACCGTATGTTAAGGTGTCAGATGAGAATGTCACATCTTTCTTTTTCTGGAGCTCAAAAACTTTTGTCCTTTTCCTTTTCAGTTCCCTTGAGAGCTCCTGAAATTAGTTTGACAAGCCGCAGTCCTACAGATATTCTTATCTCCTGGTTGCCAATTCCTGCAAAGTACAGGAGAGGCCAGGTGGTACTGTATCGTCTGTCTTTCCGCCTCAGCACAGATAGCAAAATCCAAGTCTTGGAGCTTCCAGGGACTTCAGATGAGTACCTCCTTGAAGGGCTGCGGCCTGACAGTGTCTACTTGGTTCGTATTACTGCTGCAACAAGGATTGGCTGGGGAGAGGCATCTTTGTGGACCTCCCACCGAACTCCAAAAGCTACAAGTGTGAAAGGTAACAATGCTCACCTTACCCACTGCCTGGAGATGGGGCCCACTGTGGGCTTCGTCTGAAGGCTGCACGTCTTTCTGATAGGTAACGCAAGGATGTGAAACGAGTTTTCCCATTACGTGTTCTTATCCTAGGGATATAGGGGAATAATGTTCTAACCATGATTTTTGTGTAATCTACACAAGCTTATGATTTTAGTGTCAGGATCAGAAGTTGTTGAGAAGTGGATCTGTCTTGTGCTTTATGTGTGACAGCAGAAAGAAAAGCCAGCGTGTTATTTTTGTGTTGATCTTTGATTGTTGTCACAGGCTGATATTCATGTGTTTGATATGGTGGTAGGAAGCTTTAATTAAAATGTTTTAACTTTTGTTTCCAATGATAGCATGGTTTTCTTCTGTTCCACATGATTTTAATAAAAAACAAGCAAACCCAAAAAATAGCAGTTTACGGTAAAACTCTTCTTCATATCAGGACATTTCACACTGGCAGCCTGTGTGGGTGCACAAGGGAGCTGAGTTGACACGTGTCTGCTCTACAAACAAACAATAAAGTTTGAGTATAGAGATGGACTTACTTGAAATCCAATTTGTTATAGCTGAATTTTGGCTTACATTATTATTTACCGATGTCGTATAGAAGAGCATTCAATTTTGCATGAATGCTTTAAAGGTATAGATTTGAATTTGTAACAGTATTTCTTAGATTACTCCATGTCCATCTCATTTGAATTTGAGTTTTGACTAGTATAGCAAATTATTAGCTCTTGATGAAGTGTGATGTTATTGCTATTTACATTTACTCTGGCTTATTTTAAAGCAAGAGATCATTTTATAGACTCTGGATTACCCTCATTTTCTTTTGAGAAAAAGGAATTGAAAATACTTTTAAAATTTTTAAATAGATTTTATTTGAATTTTTTCTTAAGATGCTGAATTAAAAAAAAGGCTATTTCCTAATTTACCTGAAATTATGCTTTTAGATTAGCTACAGGGAATCAGGCATCCTAAAAAGGAACTAAGTAGGTAAGTACGTAAGTGAGCTAGAATCAAAACCTTGAGTGAACTTTTGATTGATGGGCATTCTGATTTTAATGTAGGATTTTGTTATTCTTAAATACAATAACATTATGTATATTTCTCTAAAATCAGCACCAAAGTCTCCTGAGCTGCGTTTGGAACCAATAAATTGTACAACCATTGCAGTACAGTGGCAGCAGGACTCTGATGACACTGCAGCTATTCAAGGGTACAAGTTGTATTACAAGGAAGAAGGCCAGCAGGAAAATGGACCAATTTTGTTGGATGCCAGTGATCTTGAGTATACTGTCAGTGGTTTAGGTAAGTACAGAACATACTTCTTAATTGTTCTGGAAGGCAATAAATTCAAAGGACATCTTAGGGATCTTAAATCTTCTGACCTACGAGGCTATTGCGTTAGATTTGGCCACCTATATTTCTCACAATAAACTTTTTAAACTAGATTTATACCTCTGATGGATGATCCTATCTGTATCCCTAAATGTATGTTGTGCAACACTTAGATAGCCAGATCTTGTTAATTTTGTGTAAGTTAGAAGGACACCCAGCTGCACGCCACAAGAGACAGAACTGGGAGTTAGTATATGCCCATCTTTTTAGTTTAAAGTTTAATGCTCAGTTTAATACTTGATACTTTAGCTTTTGGGTGTTTGTGCTGGGTCTAGTTAACAGTGAAAGATGAACACAAAGTACCAAAGATTTTTCTCTGGTGTTTTTAGGCTGTGTTTCTGTTATTTGTAGCCTTTGTCATGGCTATACTGCCCAACAGGCATTGCTCACTTTGGCATGGCTATAGAACACGTTACTGTAAATTCCTAAAAATATTACTAGGATACTGCAGTAAAATGAACTAAAAATATCTGTAAGTATTAATGGGATAGTAACATGCACAGGGTACTAGCTAGTAGCATTTCTGCATGTTCTTCTTTATATATTAAGTAGTACTGGTAAATATTTGTAGAACTAAACACAAATATTAGAGCATGGAGCAATCCCCTTGTGGTCTTTCAGTTGATCATCAGACCGTTTCCTCCTGTAGCTCTTGCCTTGTATGTCAATACAAGTGTCTTGGTATCACTCCTTGTAAGAAGGTGCTTCTGTTTATATATAAAAAGCTGCGTTTTTTTAATTTAAAAGATGGGACCTATAATGTAATCAGCAAAAGTAAAATAGGACTTGACACTTAGCATTTGAAACATGTCGAGGAGTTTACTTAGGGGTAACGTGGAGAACTGAATTATCAGCATTGACCTGTGGTCTTAGCTAGGTCAAATGGCCTCTTGGCTGTGATCAGACAATTCTCATCTGCTGCATACAGTTGAGATACTATTTTAGGGGAGATCATAGGGGAGAGCATTCTGGTCTGTTAACTGGACAACTGGCCATCTGTGACCATTCCTACCCAGAGCATCTGGCAGCAGCTGACTGTTTAACAAAAGAGCATTGGCTTGGCTTGGAAGGTTGTGCTGTCTATGTGTCCTAGGACACAAATGTTTTTTGGGTTGTTTTTTTTTTTTGTTTTGTTTTTGACTTCTCATTATGCAGTTACTAAACAATAATTTCCTTTAGGCAAATTTATCAACTGTGTGACTCCCATCATGGGAATTGTTCAGTGTACTAAACCTCCTCAGATTAAAATACTGTTTTACAGAGTTATATTTAAAATATGTTATCTGTATGTTTTTCATTGGTTTTTCTTTCCAGCAAGCATGCAGATAGGGGACAAAACGAAAGCAAATTGAGTTTGGGGAGGTAGAACTTTCACACAGTCATAGTGTTACCTGAATTCTAGGATGTATGGATGTGGAAGATTCACGTACTTGAATTAACCATTCAGTCTTGGTGCATAGGATGTTTGAAGTGTTAATTCCTTGCCTAAATTCTAAATATCTACATATGGTGACCAAAACAGGACACATCCCATATAATCTGATTGCCCTTCTTTATATTTTTAATGTGTGTGTAATTTATGATGCCATATGTTAGACCTGCTGAAGAGTGTGTGTTTTCATGCAACTTTCAAGTAGACAGCAGCTTTTTTAATTTTTATGGAGCATATAGAGTTATTTGAAGTGAACTTTCCTGTGTCAGTTTATTTATTGTTTTCTTTTTAAAATCTTCTTTGTAGCATTTATAGAAAAAGGCATTAATTGCCACAACTACAAAAGACTCAGTTGGCACAAGAAATTTGATCAGGCCATGGTTTTAGACTGCAAAGATGATTATGTATGTTGAAGCCTGGGAATTTCATACATAGTACCTGTTTGATTGCTGTATTTGTCTTGAGAAATTTGAAAAACTTGTGTGCACTAAATAATTTCTCAGAAAACAGTACACAATCAACCTTATTCTTCCTGCAGTAACTGCACCTGTGAAGAATATGGTAGGTAAAATGATATGCGGTATATAAAATAACAGAGTATAGCAACAACCGTGCAGTAATAAGGGACTTGATTTGCTTTTCTTTTTATTTCTTGTGAATGACCTAAATCATTTAACTAGGATATTTTATTAAGATATTTCTAATTAAAATATTACCTATTGGGAAGTGGCCCTGAGGTGAAGCAAGGGAAGCTATCGATTTAGTTTCTGACTGTGGTACACAGTCTTCACAAACTGGACAGTGGCTTTGAGAAGTAATGTTCTGCCATCTATTTGCCTCTTCTTTGGACACTGAATTCACAGAATCACAGAAGGGTGACTAATTAATGAATGCTAATCAATCGGCAGCCTCTTTAAAACAAAGGACCTTTAATGTCTTCATTATGAGCCATATGCATTGGTAGAATATTGCAAGTGTGAGATCCTGAGGGGCAAGGTGTGTTTAGGGGCTTCATTTTCGTAGATATTGGATAACGTGGTCAAATGGAAGGTTATTTCTCATTTGGGAATGCTTGTAGATGCTTTCTGGTGGCAGCGTTTGAGTACTTTCTCATTCATACCTGTTGCCACTGAACAGTTTGTCATGACCTAAGGCTGCACTACCATTTCCTTTCTTTCTGCTTAGTTAAAAATTGCAGGTAGGGATCAATTGAAATATGGAGCATAACAATAAGTATCTCCTTGGAATATTTTGCAGATGTTGATTTATGTGGTTGTCAGTTATGCAGAATCTGTATTCAGGGAAGACAGTTCAATTTGTGGCAACTGAAGTGCATTAAAATGTCAAAATTCATGATCTCTTAACAAAGGAAATGTTAGCAGTGATACTGCAAACATTGTTGATGGCATTTATTATTGGCAGCATTGGTGAATTACTGTTAAATGACTTGCAGACTGCTACTGGACCCTTGGTGGAAGGACAAGGCTGATAAAGCAGAAGCAGCAATGGCCATGTAAAATGGCTTTCAATGATTGAACGTTAGACATAGCAATATAAATATTATGCTGTATGTTTTAATTTGTTACTTCTTTTAACCTTAGATTTTGGGAACTGATCTCTTCTACTCTAGAGTAAGGCTACCCAGTTACTTCTGTCTATTTTTTAACTGGATTATTTAACGTGATAGTCACTAAGTAAATAGAATTAAATGATCTGATGAGAGTCAGGGCTGCCTTTCTCAAAATAAATATTCACAGTTTCACATAGACATTTCTTTGTGTTAAAGGTCTTGGCATTTATTTTTCATCAGTGAGCCATTTCCTAGTCCAGTGTAAAATTCCATTATCACTTCAATTTGCTACATACCCTTGAGTGCATACCATTCATTTTTGACGCTATTTTTAATTCCTCCTTTGCTTACTCCTGCACTAGAAAGTTCTGACTTTTTACTTCCAGTCTGGAGAAGAGAAGATTCTAGGAGACCTCTTTGCAGCATTTCAGTATTTAAAAGAAGCGTTTTAAAAAAAGACTTTTTACGTGGTCTGATAGTGACAGCACAAGGGGAACTTTAACTTTTAAACTACAAGAAGAGAGATTCAGATTAGATGTCAGGATGAAATTCTTTACTCAGAAGGTGATGAGGCACTGGCACAGGCTGCCTTGAGAAATGCCCCATCCCTGGAGACATTCAAGGCTAGGTTGGATGGGGCTCTGGGCAGCCTGATCTGATGTGTGGCAGCCAGCCCATAGCAGGGGTGTTGGAATCATTTGGTCTTTAAAGTCACCTCTTCCCCAAACTACTCTGTGATTCTGTTCCAGGCAGACTGTTTTTCTTTGTGAGATTTGTCGAATCTCCTGTTACAGATTCTGTTTGTTTCAGCATGTGTATATTTGTTCAGAAGTTGAAGTGACTTTTCTTGGTGGAGGAGTTCGTTTGGGAATCTTCTTGCATGAGTTTAAAAGTAAAAACCAACCAAACAAACAAAAAAAGGAGCATCCAGGGAAGCTCATTTCCCACTTTTCATTGTCTTCATGTCATTTTTTAAAAAACAATTAGTATCATTGCTGCTCACTGCTGCACTGGGTGTTTGCCTGTCACAGCGCACTGCAGCCATGTGATCATTAGGAAGGTACAACAGCACGAGAGGGACAGTGGTTCTGACAAACCCATTTCAGCCTTATCTGGTTTGCTGGAAGTAGGAACTCCTCAGAGGTAAGTGCTACTGCTGATTGGAATCTCATCCCACCAGCTATATCTAGACAGATTAAAATCAAATTTAGCTTCCTGTTTAACAGATTCAAGAAAGCACAACCTCCTGTGATGCTGTAACACAAGTTCATTATTCTTAAAGTTCCCTAGAGTTCTCCCCTTTCTGAACTTTAATTAAATTAGAAAGACAAATTAATTAGTTATTACCATCCTAGTAACAGCAGTGTTTTTTACTAATTAAGTGAATGATGATGGGGGAAATGCAACATTTTCTTGTGCCATTAATACCTTCTACACTTGGAAAAAGGGAGGAAAGAAGGAATTCACTCTGCAAACTCATCCTTCTGTAGTTGCTGTCTGGAAGCTGTAGCACCTTGCGTGATGGTAGTTACAGTGAAGATTTCAGAAATTTGCACTTAGGTGACAAGGCTCATGTAGGATCTCACTAAATGCTCCTAAAACCCTGAGGCAATCAGGCTGTGGCAGGGATGTGTACACCTTAGGTGCTCTTTTGTTTCAGTTGCACCAGATGATATCATGCTAAATAACTGAACACCTTAGGGGATGGAAAAACTGGTCTGTTAGCTTCAGTGAAAACACCTTGAGCATGAGAGCACACTCAGCTTGGCCTTTCCCTGGCATGGCCCCTCCCAGGAGAGCCTGTGAAGTGCTGTCCTGTGCTCTGGCTGCAGACCTCAGAGTGCTGCTGGTGCCCCAGGGCCAGGTGCTGCCAGGCTGCAGGGGATGACAGAGCCTGCTGGTGGTTTG